TCAAAGGCCGTTTTGGGATAATTTTTATTATTCTTTTTAGAGCACTCAATCATTAAATTATAGAAAAATGGATTACAGTCCCACACCATTATTTCAGGTCCGTATCACTGAAAACGTCCTATGTTTCTGAATTATGATCATATATGATCGATTAAAGCAATGGTGAAAACGTGAAGTAGTTGTAAACCATGTAATTTTTACGTATGTTATCGAAATAAGAGTTGCAATACTAGTCCTTCCATTAACCACAACCCACAAACGCCACAAAACAATTTTTCCTCGGATAAATTGGAAAAAGTATCAGCATTAGACAATTAATAAGCATGCAGTTGAGTAGAATGTGTGCGTGGCACTAACTTCTGTGCATCGTAAATTAAGACAATAATTGTTATGTCAATTTTTACAAATGTAATAGCTTAAAGTGGTGCAATGCAAGTCGTTCCATTTGCCATCTTGGTGACGCATTGAAATACAATTTTCTCGGGATCCTCCGTTAGGTTCACCTCTATTCCAAAATACAAAGCTGCCCCATGCAACTCCGTCCTCCCAGACCCAAGAGCCTTCCACTTGCTCGTCGTTTCCTCCAGCCCAGACGGCATGGCCACTTGGGGAGAACAGTGACCACAGGTAATCGTTTTCTTCTTTGGAATGCACTGTCACCAAGAAAGCCCCAAATGTTTTGCATTGAGCTTTGGCTTCAGAATACCCTCTTAAATGGTCCTGGAAATACTTGTAGCAGTGGTTATTGAACAATGTCCAGTTAGCGTGGCAACCTAAAAATTCATAGCACTTCATATTAGGAGACTGAGTAACAAAGCTCACTTGCTATTGCAAAGTTCAGCTTAAAGCTCTAGAATGACAACGATGCCGTGAATCAAAAAAGAAGAGAAGTTCAGTTAGTCAACCATTTCCATTGACATCACTTCTAAGATCTGATTTAGCGCAACCAAGCTATCTTCTCGTGTCCTTGTATATTGTACCCATGACAAAATTTGATATAGTAGTCATTACCCCCTTAGATTATCAGAGCTGCTAATCGATTCCCTGTTTTTCTTATCTATGTCAATTATTGCAAAACAACCAGTTTTACCCTCTTCATAGGTATGTGAACAAAAAAGGGTGGACATTTGAACAAGATCCTGCAAATGCGTTCAGTGTATTTGTAACAATACTCAGAAAATTTGTTCTATCGGTATTCTATTTAGCATTTTTTGCTAAAAGTTATTTTGGAATCCCTTACCAATTTGGCAATCATCCCCACCAAATCCAGCTCTACAAAAGCATGTGTATGATTCATCATTGTAGTTCGGCATACAAGAGCCTCCGTTCTGACATGGCGCATTTATACATGGAGTCTAAAATGAAAAAATACCGCGAGCGAATCAACCTAAATCCGATTATAAAGAATCGTTAGAGAAAGAGGAGATATACTTTCATTAATGGATGGAGTACAGTGTTACATTGGTATTCGACCACTCAAAACGTAATACCTAAACGCCGCTTACCAAGTTGGCCGCTTACGTGAGGTCAGGCTATGGCTGAAGAGAGTTTAAATTTGGAGATTTAGTCTCAGGTCTTTGTGGTTTATGTTAACTACCTTTACAGCTCACCAGCGATACTAAAGGATATAAGTTGGTCAATAGCACCATTGAAGTTATTTATCTCTTGGCGTTATTAACTGCGTCAATGAATGAATGTTACGCCGCAAAATGTAATAAACGCCGCAGAATGTAAAACTGACGCAAAATGTAATGATAATCGCCGCAAAATGTAATAACATCGACGCAAAATGTAATAACATCGACGCAAAATGTAATAACATCGACGCAAAATGTAATAACATCGACGCAAAATGTAATAAATCACTCAACGCAAAATGCAATAACTTTTCAACACGATATGTAATAACTTTTCTAACGCATTATGTAATAACACAAAATGTAATAACTCTTGAATGACTTGTATGCTCTTAACTTCGTTGTGTTATTCATTTTAGATTACGTGAATCAAATAACAGATTTTCAGGTTTTCTGGTTAACTCAAAAGGTAGGGTTCCCTCGCTTGTGAATTACTGTTGAAGTGCCTTTCAATTCGGCTACTATATAGACTCTCGCCTTCTCTTCTTCAAGAGAATACCATACAAATTTCGTTCTGCTCACATCGTTTTTGCTATACGTATACTGTTAAAGTGTGAGAATTGATGTGTATGACGTATATGACGTGATGAATCATGGGATTGTGGATCTATACCACAAATTCCTACACAAATTACCACAACTGTTGGCCAACTGGATAATTTCGATCCAAACAAAGAAAATTGGGAGTGCTACTTCGAAAGATTCGAGAAATTCACCGTAATCAACAACATCGCGCCAGAGCGACAGATGGCATGTTTACTCGCGGTAATGGGTCCATCGACGTATGGCATTCTACGAAACCTTGTTTACCTGGAAAAGCCCAAGGATAAGTCTCTAGATAAAATTTCTAACATTCTTGAGGAACGTTTCACCGAGAAAAAGGTTGAAATAGCCGAACGATTTAGGTTCTACACCGCCATGCAAGAGTCAGAAACTATTGCGCAATTCGTGTCTCGTCTGAAAAAGTTGGCAAGGTATTGTAATTTCGGAGACAAGCTGAATGATATGATTCGTGACCGACTGGTGTGTGGAATCAAAGATCGAAATACCCAAAAGAAGCTGTTGGTGGAAAGTGGTTTAACCCGAGAAAAAGCCATCAAAGTAGCGATCGCTGACGAAGCAGCGAACAAAGACGTCGCAGGGCTCGCGAAAGCTAGAGGCCTGGTTCCAACCAACGAAGTTCATCGAATGAATGCCACACCTTCAAAGCCGCTCAAACCGAAAACAAATAAAGAAGACAACCCTCTTGGAGAACCAAAATGTAAACACTGCGGAAAAAGAAACCATCCTGCAGAAAAATGCAAATTCAAGCGTGCTGCATGCCATAAATGCAACAAGCAAGGACACATTGCACCTGTTTGTAAGTCTTCAAAGAAATCTCAAGTTCATGCAGTCGAGGAAAAGCTCTCAGAGTCTAAAGAAAACACGAATGAGGAATTTGATGACTACTCTTACCTGTACAACATTCAAGGTGGATCAGAAAACCCCATCGTGATAGAAATTGAAATTGAAAACCAACAATTTTGTATGGAAATTGACACTGGCTCTGGAAAGTCTATCATAGGCGAAAACCTCTACAAGGATAAATTCTCCAATCTGCCATTAAAGCAATCACCTCTCACCTTTGTGACCCACACAAAAAAGGAAATCAACCCTCTTGGATATGTGGACGTAGAAGTCCAATATGGAAGTCAGTCACTTACACTACCCTTGTATATCATCAAAACTAATTCACCACCCTTATTTGGACGTGAATGGTTGAAAGCCATCTAACTCAACTAGCAACAAATTCACAAAATGTCTACACCAATCAACATTAATCAAGTACTTCAGCGTCATGACAGTCTCTTCAACGGTCAACTTGGAAAGTTAAATGGAATTGAGGCTAAACTCAACCTCAAGGCCGGAGCAACGCCAGTCTTTCACAAGGCTAGGCTTGTCCTCTTTACAAAGAAATCAAAGATAAGTGGAAAGCTTAACCTGCTAGAATCTCAAGGAATCATCGAGAAAGTGCCGTACAGTGAATGGGCTGCACCTATTGTCGCTGTTGACAAGCCTGATGGAGGAATAAAGATATGTAGAGACTTTAAAGTAACTGTTAATCCTGAGTTAGAAGTCCACAAGTATCCTTTACCTCGTATTGATGAAATATTCAGTAATATTGCTGGTGGCGAAAAGATCTCAAAGCTAGACCTAAGTCACGCTTTCCTACAAATAGAAGTTGCAGAAAAATGTCGTCCACTTCTCACAGTGAATACTCACCAAGGACTTTACCAGTACAAACGGGTAGTCTATGGAATAGCATCAGCACCTGCTCTATGGCAAAAGGCAATGAATCAAGTTCTCCAAGGTATTCCTGGCACTCAATGCTATATTGATGACATAATTGTCACTGGAAAAAATGATCAGGAACATTGTAAAAATTTTGACAAAGCTATGACCCGTCTAGAAGGTGCCGGACTGAAGCTGAGTAAACTGAATAAAACCAAATGTGAATTCATGAAGAATGAAATTGAATACTGTGGACATGTGATCAACAAAGAGGTCTATGTAAACCACAGAAGAAAGTTGAAGCAGTTGTGAATGCCCCCAGCCCAGAGAATGTAAATCAGCTGAGATCATGGCTTGGATTTGGGGATTACTATCATAAATTTCTACCAAACCTTGCAACAGAGGTGCAACCGCTACATTGCTTATTGAAACAGGACACTCCCTGGCACTGGACAAAGGAACAAGAAGCAACGTTTACAAAAGTGAAATCAATGGTAACATCTGACACCGTTCTCACACATTATAATCCTGACAAAGAATTACGCTTGGCAACCGACGCATCAGCTTATGATATTGGATGTGTTTTATCCCATGTTACGCCAGATGGTAGTGAAAGACCGATAGCATTTGCTTCACGCACACTGAATGACACAGAGAAAGTCTACCCTCAGCTACAAAAAGAAGCCCTCTCGATTGTGTGGGGTGTGAAAAAGTTTCAGTATTATCTTGAAGGTCGTCCATTTACCTTATTGACTGACCACAAGCCACTTACAACAAAATTTCACCCTCATAAAGGAATTTTAGCTACAGCATCAGCTCGTATTTAACGCTGGACTCTATTTCTTAGTGGACTCTCATATCAAATAGAGTATAAAAACACTAAGGCTCATGCAAATGCAGACAGACTGTCTAGACTGCCCTTGAATTGCATTAAAGAAGACGAAAACCTTAAAGATCCAGCAGACATCTTCCACTTAAATCAAATCGACAGACTACCTGTCTCAGTGAAAGAATTGAGGAAGGAGAGCAGAAATAATCCTATTCTTGCCAAAGTGATCCAAGCTGTACTGTCTGGGTGGCCTGCAAAACAACGGTTACATCCAGACCTCCTACCTTATTTCCACAAAAGAGAAGAACTGACCGTCTATGATGGATGTTTGTTGTGGGGAGGACGAGTAATTGTTCCACCAATACTCCAATAACGCGTTCTAGAAGAATTACATGAAGGCCACATCGGAATTGTCAAAATGAAGGGATTATCTCGTAGCTATTTCTGGTGGCCCGGCTTGGATTCTCAAATTGAAAGCACATGCAAAACCTGCTAAGGTTGTGCACTTACACAAAACAATCTTCCTGCTGCTCCTGTACATACGGATGGGAACTTCTAGAAAAGCCCTGGTACCGAGTCCGCATAGACTTCGCAGGGCCCTCTCTGAAATCTATGTTTCTTGTAGCAGTCGCCGCACACTCAAAATGCCAGAAGTTCACATCATGTCATCAACAACATCTTCAAAAACAATTGAAGTACTGAGAACCATCTTTGCCACACATGGTCTATCAACTTAAATTGTTTCTGACTATGGCTCACAACTCAGGTCAGAAGAATTTGAAAACTTTTTAAAGATGAATGGAATACAGCATCTTACTTCAGCCCCTTACCATCCAAGAACGAATGGATTGGCTGAACGCTTTGTAAGGGTAATGAAGGAAGCTTTGAAGAGTAACAAAGGCAGTACAAGTCTTAGGTACAAACTTGACACTTTCCTTATGAAATACCGCAATTGTCCACATACTACAACTGGTAATTCTCCAGCTGTCATGGTGATGGGACACCCTTTACGCTGTAGTATGGATCTACTAAATGCAGACATAACCAGTACAGTTGAGAAGTCTTTTGTCACAGCACCATCATCCAAACAAATGCGTCATTTCAACCTTGGTACACCTGTTCTAGCCAGAAATTATGGAAAAGGTAATCTCTGGTCCAAAGGTGTCGTATCAAAACAAACCGGTCCAGTATCATACCAAGTACAAGTTAGTACTTCAACTTGGCGTCGTCATCTCGATCAGTTAATAAGATCTGAACTACCAATTACAGGAAGTACTCCAGTTACCATGACAACTAATGAACCACAGGTTTCTGAAGAGAACTACCAAGAGTCACAGATAAATGCGCCTTTGACAGTTGATACTCCTGATGTCAACTCATCACAAGTTATCTCAGAGAGTCAGAACAGAACCCCTGATGATGTAAAGAGCAACGAAAACTCCAACACTCAAGCTCCAGTCAGGCAAGATTCCGAATTAAGAGAGTCAAGACCAATGAGGAACAGAAAAAGTCCAGTATGGATGAAAGACTATGTTGCAAAATGACATTGTTTGAGTTAGCATGAGAATGATTTAGAAACATTTCTCGTTTGAATTTGACTTAAATCAAGTGACTATGAACATTTAGTTGTTTGGCTCTGTTTCAGTTATATGGCTTGTTGTTAAACCCGTTAGTTCAATTTTAGTGTGGGGAAATGATGTGTATAATGTATATGACGTGATGAATCATGGAATTCATGGGTAATAAATTATGATTGAATTCAACCACCGAACAAGAATGTTGTGTCTCAATACATAACAAGAATATAGATTGTTACCATTTACGACGCCATTTTGGCGGGTAGGCAAATTCGACTGAAGGCGAAGTGTGAAGTTATTGCCGTAAGACTTCACTCCCAACAACTGCATCGCAAAGTATGTTCTGCACACGAAATCCTTCATGGTATCGCTTTTTTAAGTTTTTTCAAGTTCATTGATTTTATCATGGACTGTTAAGTCTGGAGGTAGATATTCTGCAAAGGGTTGTTAGACAATTCGAATTCATGTCGAGGAAACTTAATACAATTTTCGAGCTTCAGTGAGCAAGAGACTTTTATGTGAATTTAACACGCCCAAACATTCAAGTGTTTCCACACAATCTGTCATTTTATCGTCTAACCAATTTGCGTTTGGAGCGTGAACATGCCAAATTTTGACAATTTCGCCGTGTGTTTCGGCATCCCAATAAAACACAGATTTTTAAACACATTGACTGCTTTTCGTCTGTAACTTAGAAAATTTCGGTCACTCCGCTTTTTGCGTGTTTTAAGGGTAGAAACACACAGGGGGGCTGTAAAAACTTGGCGTATTCACGGTCGAACTTTAATTGGTTTGATTAAAAACGCGACGGTTTGTTACGATATACAAGAATGTTCTTGGGATATAACAAAAAAGCATTTAAAACTTTGTATCACATTGTGTGTTTTTCGAACTTAGAAAAGTTATTACATTTCGCGTTGAAAAGTTATGTTTTGCGTTAAGTGATTTTTACATTCTGCGTCGATGTTATTATATTTTGCGCTAGTATTACATTTTGCGGCGATTGTTGTTACATCTTGTGTCAGGATTACATTTTTCAGCGTAACAAATGAACACGGGCCAATATCCACTACTGAAGCAAAAACTAAATCTGGAGTTTGAGACGTTTAGTCACCCAATTAGTTTCTGAACTAATAAGAATGAATGACGTGCAGCTGTTCTTAGAAAACTAAAAAGAAAAGATGAAAATCTAACACATTCAAAATGTCCAACAGGGGAGCACAAGCAAATTAATTTACCCCTTTCATAAAACGCAGATCTTAGTGTGGCTTTTGTTTGGTGTTTTCAAACGTAACAGATATCCTATTGTATTATCCGTTGGTCGACCACCGTTACATAATTATGGAAAATAATTATGTAAAATAATTATGAAAAAGTAAAAAAAAATAAAATAATAAAAAAATCAAACAGCGGAATTGAAAACAAAGAATTTAGCCAAAATGAAAATTCAAAATAGCTTCAGATATTGCCTCTCTCAGTTCATTTTCAATTGCCACACAAACTTCCAATTTTCAGTATTAAATGTAAATACACTGACCAGACACTGATATAGCCAAACAAAATTCCAGGTACAAAGTAGCGGTAATTTGTTTAACGTGCAAGCTTAATCAAATTTGAAGATGAATTACCAGGTCGAAAAGCATCGCCTCGAACCTTGCCTACTTCAGTGATTCCTTTATGATTCAAGAATTTGAGTGAATATACCTGCGCAGAAAATAGTTTTGAAGCAAAGAAGACACAACCAACTTACCCATTTTTTCACATGACGAGAGGTCGAGTTTTGTTTGAAATTTTGAGATTTGTTGAAGATGTTATCGAACAATAGCTCGCACCAAAATGTGCCGTCCTCGTCTTCTGCAGAAGCCATATTTAAGGATGTGCAAGATGGTGTGTCAAAGCACTTCATGGAACAGTCCAAGTCTCTCCTAACATTGAAAACCTGAATTCGTTTTGTTGTGTTAAGATAATGGAAAGGGTACTCCACAAAATTAACAAATCGAAATGTAGAATGCGAACTGATCTGCCGGATCTCTTTAGTGGCATCAACAAGAACTATCGAAAATACATAGAGGCTCACAAAATTACTGAAAACAACGAACATTTCTCTCTTTGCTTCTATCAACGCTACAGTTCAAAACGCCCCAGCAGCCACATACTGTGGAACACTTCTTCTTTTTGTTAGCTTGTTTCCATAATGTTGTCTGGGTGAATGCATTATTTATTACAAATGACTCTGTGTCGCCGTTCAAAAATAAGAGTAATTGGCTTTTAGCTTGAAATGGGAAACTTCATATCGCTTGAAATGGGAGACTTAATATCAAAAGTCGCTGTTGTGATTCATTATTGCTCGGAGATTTCGGACAGCTGTAACCAGTTCGTAATATTCAACTGATAATTTTTATTGATAACGGCATAACACCTCCTTGTCTTGATAGCAAGATCAACATCAATCTCCGATGCGTTTCCTAAATTATTCATATGCAGCCATGGCCTTATATTTTTCTTCCTTTTTGTTCGTCTCTATAATCTCGTTTTTGAGGGACCACCAGTCGCATGTTATAAGAAGCACACGGCAATGCACAGAAAATTTAAACCTTTAATGAAAAAGGGATTTTCACACTATAGACACGAGACTTCAAACACCTGCTACTGAGACCAATTTGCTTTCATTAGCAGTCTGCTTAAACAACAGGAGAGCGCTTTGCAGTTTATTTATGGCGAGCTTGAGGAGTCGGAGATAGAATTTAACTTAATAGAACTGAAGTTAAAGCCTCAATAATTGAGTCCATGGTCCAATTATTCTTGCGACTAAATTTTTCTGATGCGCTATCGTCTGAGTTTTTCTTGGGGATCAGTCCTTATTTATCGTCTCGGAAGAGAGGGGGGGCCGGCAGGGGGGCTGTGTCACGATAAAATTTATCTGATCCCCCCATAAGGCTCTGTAATAATCTAATTACCCACTAAGCCACGTAATTGCCCTAAATTTAAAGTACAGAAGATTATAATTAAGCAGAACAGCAAGTTCCGTCTAATATAACTGTACGATTTCTTATCATGTTTAAATGAAAAAACTCTTAACCGCTTTAAAGACATGTTTCCTCATTCTATAAAAACAATTGCAGCAATTGGCACTATCAGAAAACTGTGACCTGCGTAATCAGGCTCCTAAAGGAGGGAGTAGAGCCGGGGAGAGCGGGTAAATGAGATTAAAGAACCACTCAAAATTCTACCGGCTCCACCCCCTTTATATTCTGTTAGTCACGATTCATCCCCCCTCTGTTCCCCCTGAAAACCATGTGATCCTCCAAAATCCCCCTCTCTCCTCTCCCCCAGGCAATAAATAATAATTTGTTTCGTGGGTCTGGGGCCTAAATTTTTTCGATGTTTTCTTCCATTTTGAAACGCGTTTTGTGCTTTCGTGTGTACAACGATTATCACTTGGTATTCCTTTTTTTTTTTTTATTTTTTTTTTAAATGAATTATGATTCCTTTCATGTGTCATGAAAAAATTACCTTTAGACTTACATTTCAATGTTCCTACGGAGTGTGATAGCTTCCGTGTTATTTAGGAGACTCAATAAAAGGAATTTTTTTTAGATTGTAAGAGCTTTCCTGTTAATCAGGAGTTTAAATAAAAGGAAATTGTATTAGACGGGGCATCAGATAAACCGAAAGTCAACAGAGTTTTGAATGGGAATTTTCCAGAATGTCGCGCAATACCAAAGATTGGACTTAACCTTTTACTCCCTTTAAAATATCTGTTCACTGGAGCAATTTTCGTTTTCCTTTATGACGCCACTTTCGCGTTGAATGTTGCCGTTTTTAACGTTACATATTGTCAGTTACCCGTTGCTTGTTAAGCAATATATGTTTTAGTTTTACGAATGCCATTTACCCAGTTCTCCTCCTCATTTTCGTTACATCGTTGGTAGACAATGAATATTGGACACGAGACTTTGTTTACCTAATTCTGTAAGTTCGTGCGTTATGACATCATAATTAGCATCACCTTCTGACATCCTGTCATGAATTCGAATAATCTGTTATATCCTGTCTCGAGATTGGACTGATGGCAAAGGCAATATAATAACCAAATTTTGATAGACAAGGAAAACATTTCGTTCCTTTATATTTCTTCTCTTGCCACATCACACAACCTAAGCAAGTAAATTAGCACTGGCCCTTGATCGATTATGCCCAGCTACATTCGCTACCAGCAGACAAACAAGCTAAGAGATAAGTCCACGCTATTTTTCCTCTGCTCCTTTATTCTTGTGGTTGTTTACACGACTGTTATTGGCTTCGTGCTTGTTCACGTACTAAAGATAACGAAAGACATCGAGGACAGCAACGACGAACTGTTAGAAACGAACAAGAAGTTAGAAGAAAAACTGGAACTACTGGTCATCCGTCTAAAGAAACTTGAGGAAAAAAATTCGTTCAATTCGAGCGCGTTGCCCTATGTAAATATAAAACCACCCAGGCAGCTGAAAACTGTGAGAAGAGCAAATATAAACGTCGGACTAAGCAACTTCAGAGGAAAAAAAATTGCCTAAAAATTGATTCTTACCAAAGATACTGCTATGAAGGTGAGTTCAAACAGTTAGAGCTAGATATCCTTATTTCAGAGAAAAGGTTTTCTACGATATAGTTAATGAAATCCGGTTCAGCACGACAGGAACACAAGTTGTAGTCAAATATCTCGAGGCAATAAAAGTCTTACTTTCAATATAACTCCATCTGCATAAAGACCCAGAATTTCTCTATTTTCTCACATTATATGCCTTCAATTAATTCTATTCTAGTCTTGCCTTTTTTCATTCTACAATTTCTTACAGATAAAGTCTATCTTAAATTCTCAATTTTGGCAAACTCGTGTCGAAATTATGCGACAAATTACAAATTCATCGTCTCCCTAATCAGCCGCGATGCCATCTTCCAATTTAAGCTGCTAGAAATATATACTGCGAATAAATGCAAATACGTTCTGACTATAATTTCTCATTCAAGAAGAATCATTTAAGCTTATCTGGAAACGGATACAGCTGCACTCGCTCTGTTTGTGCATCTTGTGTGTCTGTTTAGCATTCTCAACTTATTAGAGCGACTAACCTTGTTTCCGTATAATTCACACACTCCCAAGAGTTCTCCGAATGCAATCAGTCAGCCGTTCATTTATAACTCCTTTACAACCTGAAGATCAATTGAGGATTTCTAAATATTTTTTTAATATCATGTGAACTCATGAAAAGAAAACATTTGCAATGGCTCCAATTTGGCTGAAACTTCCTCAATATCAACAAAATGAACAGATAAACATTTCGAAGCCATCTTAATTTCAAATAGTGGCCTCATCTAAGACACTTGACACCTTTGTTGCTTCCTTACGTGCGATTTCTTTTCTTATATACTTTTCTTTGCTTTTATTTTGGCCAAAACGACTCGATATGCTATAAACCTGTAAGCGAGCTAAGAACATATTTAATTTGAAATGGTGTTACTTTAGTGTATAGGACGGTGTGAAGCCTGAGGAGCTTAAATTTTTGTTTTGATTTCTATGCACGCAATTTGAGAAAAGGAATACCTAGGTCAAAGAAATATATACACAAAGTTCACTTGGATGGCCTCTAATATTATGGAAAGCTTAAAAAATAAAAACGGTCGGCAAGCCGTCTTGAAGCTCCAGAAATAATGGAAAAGCGTCTTTTTTTTTTTCATTTAAGGGCTTGGGAAACTAATTGAAAGTATGAATTGAGAGTAATGGTTGCATGCGATAGACATATATATATATATATATATATATATTTTTACCTATGTCCGATGAAGTAAGACCTCGGCATGTCGTTTTACTGTTTTAGTGCGGCTCTTTCTGAGTTGGGTCATCTATCTTATTGTGAAAACCAAATTTCAAAAGCCAAACAAGGTTGGTCCTGTCTGCCGGCCAGTTGCACTGTCATGATGACATCCGGATGCTTAGACCCGAGCCATTGCTACTGAACCCAAGCAGTGCCAAAATCATGAACATGAATTTTCTCATCTTGTTTTGCCGGATACCGGCTGATAACAAATTTAAAATATTTGGGTGATTGGTATGAATTGAAATTCCATGATCCTTTGTACATTCATGTCAAAGTTAAAACACAGAAGAATATTCTCTGCAGTTTCAAAGTAAGAGTCAGTTTTCTTAGTTTGTATGAACTAAAACTGAAGCAGAAATGTCTTGTGCGTCATTTTGCATCGTCTGAATGGTATGACCCACACTAGGAACCTAAACTTGGGTAAACCCGAAGAGGTGCATTTTCCCATACAGGTCCGCGGAACCAGGATTTAAAGTGAAGATTATAATTCTATGGGCATCGCACATTGTTGCTCAAATAACCAAGTGATGGAGTCTGATAAGGCCTGAAAGGAAGCTCGTAGTCGTTTATTGTTAACTACCAAATTTCAAAAGCCAGACAACGTTGGTTTTGTCTGCCGGCCAGTTGCACTGTTTATGATGACATCCGGATGCCGAGACCCGAACCATTGCTAAAACCCAAGCAGTGTCAAAATCATGAACATGAATCTTCTCAGCTTGTTTTACTAGTCATGGTCTTCTAACTCTTTCTACACTGTCTTTTAACCCTTTCCTTTCCCCGTTCTCTCTTCGGTTTTTACTCACTCCATTTTTCCTTCGTCTGCACTGACCGCGAACTTATCAGAGCTATTTTTCTTTCGTATTTTATTTCAAAAACAAATCAAGGTCACACAGTGCTAGAAAGCATTAGCTGCCGGAGCTACAAGTGTATTGGTCGGTTTAGGGTTTAACATTTTTCAAAACAAAAATGTATCTTCCGGCGAGCGTCGTAGACTCTGTCGCCTTTTGAGAAGGTCCTCGTTGTCGATGAATTCAAACTCCTACTAAAATTTAAGCTTTTCTGGCTTAGTGCGTTTTTCTTTGAGTATGTTAGAATGTACGATTCGTAGCGAACAATTCAATGTGGATTTTAGACCCAAACTGGCAATTCCTAGGACTTACGAAACTCTCGAGCAATTTGCTAAACTCCTCTTAAAAGGTCGAGCCACTTGCACGAAACTGTTTTTTTTTCTTTTTTGGGTTTAAATAGCCATTTTCAGGGAACCCTTTCTCTTTTGT